ATTCAGCAAGAAACCTTGTCCTGGTGACCTCACTTATTTTAAGCTCACAGGAATATTCCCACCTCTACTGATTCCAAGTCTTTTTAGAAACACCATAATTGAAATAGCAGTCATTTTAGTTTAAGTCCCATATTTGGCTTTTTTTTTTTTTTTAAGTGAAAGACCAGGAGGGAAAAAAGAAACCGAAACGGAGTAACATAAAACCCAGGATAAAGAAACTATATTGCCATGGTTTTTCTAGTCCTAAAGAAAATCTCTGCTTGAGACCTTCTCCTGAAGTACTCAGAACAAGAAAATACAAGCATAGGAATGGTACTAGGTCACCAGAGAGTAAGACCTATGGAAACAGAAGCTCGGTGACTATGGTGCTTGCCAAGCAGATGAAAATGTGGACACAGCCAGGGAGGGAAAGTAAGTTAGATTCTGACAGTTTGTTGAATTTCAGAGCTCTCTAGCCAATGCAAAAGATTTCTTTTAACATTTCTGATTTTTAAAAATTGCCACTACAGTTAATCCAGAAGTAGAGTTACAGGGCACACAGAAAATTTTCAGTGTTAAATAATTTCAACCATACCCATGTTTCATCCTGATCTTTTGTTACAGATCTGACTACTAATTAGCTCCGACACAACCATGAGTCAGGGTCAATTCTAATATGTCCTAAAAGAGACAGTTTTAGAGCTGGGCAGGACTGTGGAGATCATTTAACTGCCTTGTAGGTTTGTAAACCAAAGGCAACATTCGATAAGTGGTTTTTCCAAACTTACTTAGTTAGGAGTAGAGTTAAGACACTTTTGAGTTCCATAAAACCTCACCTTCCTCTACAGTGTGTCTTCATTTGTAGAGACAAGTGTATGTTTGTATGTGTTTATAACCTATCTTTCAAATATATAACATATCTAACATTCACCATGTTCATTTTGTTGTTGTTGTTCTTACCTAAAAGGTATGTGTATATTTGAATTGTAATTCTGTAATGTTAGGACTCTGCCTTCTCCACCCTATGGGAAATTCCTAGTATCTGTGGTTGTATCAATATTCAGTGAGCAGCAGACAATGATGCAGAGGAGAAGAGGGTTAAGTATGGATACTAATCAAGAGTATGTCTTTTTAATTAAGGTGTGCTAGAACTAGAAATCAGCCATTTTGGTGGTGGATCAGGGCTCTCCCTCAAAGTAATTCCCAGTCAACAGCTGTCCAGGGCATGTCAGACACTGGGTTGTCAGTAAGGAAAGGAGCTTACCCTGAGAAAGTTTTACTCTCCACCACCTACCTGGAGGTTCTTTAGAAATAACTGCCTCTGCTACTACCTTGCCTGAGGTCTTTCCTCCCATCACTTTAGGACCTAACCTGTTGACCTTATTATCCAATTATTCTCAGGGAATGCAGACAGCAGTCATTACACTGGATTCAAGCCACACCCCCACTGACCTGCACAGACACCCTGGCAGCACCCTTCTTGAATGGGCCCAGGCAACATTCCTTCTTAATGAGTCAGCCTTGGGTCTGCCTGTGCCAGAGGCAACACAATCTCTAGAATGCACAATCTCTAGGCCCTTATTCTATGCTTCCAAATCTGTGGGGTCAGTTCACTTCAGCTCTCTGTATGGCTAATATTTAAGAGTGTGAAAGGCAAAGTTACAGTCTCTCTTTTGCATATTCACCAGTCCCCCAAAGAACTGTGACCAGTTCTACGGTAGCCATGTATTTCAGTAAGTATTCTAAATGCAGGAGACAGTCCTTGCCTAGCTAGAGTGCTTTTGTGTGCCTCAGTTTCTTCTGTATTAATGTCTCCTATTTAATGTCCACAAGAATTGAATGTATATTACTATTAGCCCACATTTTATAGAAAAAAATAAGTGAACAACAAAGATATTAAGAAACCTGTCTTATGTTGCCCCACTAGAAAGGATTAGAAGAAGGTTTGGAACTCTAGCAATCTAAGTTCAGAGTCAGTGTTTTTAGCTAAAATGCTATTTGTTTGATCAGAAGGTCTTCTTCAGACAGCAAAATAGCTGCTACCACCCACAGCTACCTGCTGCCCTCATTACACCAGAACAGAATCTGCTTTGTGCCCAAAGCATCTTTTACCTTGATATGGCTCAAGAGCCAGTTGTTCACCATCAATGGTGGCAGAAGACACTGAGGTGCTACTTAATAAAGACCTCTGAACTTGTTATGGGAGGAAGAAGAGGGGATAATACAAAGTAGGAGAAGAAGAACAGATGGACAAGGAGAAGGAAAGACATTCCTGATACGTCTTTAAACTATTCAAGGTGAGATCAGAAAAAGACAGGATTAAAAATGAATATCAACTGGAGAAAATATAAGACCATGTAGTAATAAAGCCCATAAGAATGACAGAGCTGGACACAAAACCAAGTTGATCACATCAAAATAAATACATTTCACTAAATATCATTTCTTCTCAGGATCCCCCAGTCTCTCATTAAATTTTGTTAATTCTTAGAACAGCAGAAGTGGGAGATGATAAGATTATGAAACATTTTGGGATATAATATAAACATGTTTGAGGTGCCTGTGGAACAGTCCAATACAGATGTTAACCAAGCAGTTGGACATGGAAGTCTGCAGCTCAGGCTTGACTCAGAAGTAATGGATCTTCATCTCCAGTTCTAGCCAAGATACTACACCACCTCCCTCTGCTTTTGGGATATGTCTCAGGGGAAACAAGGAGCCTCTCTTCAGTTTGTATGGCTAATTTTAAAGATTTTGAAATAAACTCTACTCAATGATATTAGGTGATTTTGACTAGTATGCACCAGATGTTGGCACATCTCTCCTCAAATGCTTGTGAGAACTAGTCACCAGAGAGGGTGATCATCCATGAATCTAGAACTTATCTTTATTCCCAGCCCAAGAATGACTGGCCATTGCTTGCTCCTGCCCTTGACCTAGTGAGCAATAAAACATGACCTATCTTACTTGCTCACCAAAGCATGCTAGAAAAAATGGATCTGAAGCTCAGTATGTCCTTTGCTCAAGTTTGCTGATTCCTTTCGGATGTCTACTTTGTAGATGACCCAAAGTGTCCAGAATGTATTATACAAATACCTGCAAATGCCATTTGTTACAGTTTGTTTCAAAATTCCACTCACTAGATCTATTTTAATATAAAGTTATAGGCAACTTTCTAAAAGTTTTTATTAGTGCATTATTCTTATACATAATAGTGGGGTTCATTTTGACACATTCATAAATTTATATAACATAATTGGCTCCATTTCAATTCCCACTACTTCCTCTTTCCCTCCCCTCCTCCCTCTCCCTTGACTTTTTTTTCAACTGAGAATTAAAGAATAATAATCATATTTGTCAAATACTCAAGGAAAAGTTCAGAACTTTAGAGAAGTAAGGCCTAGTTCTTGAATTTAAAGCTGAAGAATATCGGAAAAATAAAGTTGAAAATATGACATCCTTTTAATTTGGCTTATGCCAGGGTTTTAGAATGGTCAAGGAGACTTAGTGATAAAATTCTAAATGAATTTTAAGAAACAAAAACACAGCTGAGGTTATTTTCTAATCAAAGAGTGCACGTGTTACAGGCACCCAAGCAGCTCAAAGGCAAAGCCATCATTCTGCTAGATATGAATGGGACTTAGCAACTCATTTTTCCTCTACTATCTGATCAGTCACCATTGCTTTATAATTGCTTTATAATGTCCTTTTCCTTTTATTGCCAAGGTCATCCCCCTTGGCTAGATGTAAAGAAGACTGAGGAGAGGAGGAAAGAAATTACGAGTCATGAATTTGACTTGTAATTTATTTTTATCTATCTATCTATCTATCTGTCTATCTATCTATCTATCTATCTATCAATTTATTTTGAGGTGGGGTCTTGCAAACTGCCCAGGCTAGCCTCAAACTTATGATCCTAGTGCCTCAGCCTCCTGACTCACAGGGATTATAGGCATGCGCCATCATACCTGGCTAAGAAAGAATTTTAAAAGGATGAATTTGAACTATATGTGAAACTGCAGCACTGTGGCAGGGACAGCTCATTTCCTTAATATACATATTAAACTATACCCTTGCCTCGGGTTGCACTTACAAACTAATTTTATACATTATAATGTAAAATGTATCAATGGACTGCCAAGCAATGCTACAGATGAAAGTAACTATCAAACAATATAAAGTACACACATACACAGAAACCCCGTTAATTGGGGAGAAGCCATCCAAATTAAGGGTCAAGCAGAGTTATTAAAGAATCATCAGGAATAAAAATGGATAGTCTGTATAAATGAGGTTATCTTGAAGGAAAATGGAAAGATTTTTGTTAGGACTTACAGAAGAGAAATTTCATGTGTAAGTATGTGAGTTTTACCTACATGTGCACATGTATATGCATAAAATGTGAGGAGAAGTGAAATGCAAGGCCCTATAGCCTGAGGTCTGCACTGTCTACACTGTCTTCTCCCTCCTCTGTCCACTATAGTCCCTGCCACTCACTCAGCTATAAAGTAAAGCAGATGTTTCCCCACAAAGATTTCAGTTGACCATCTACTATCTCTCATTACTGAGGAACTTCTTGAGTCTTCATTAGTATCTGATGCCTTCAGCTAGAGCAGAAGCACTGTGGGGGCAGAAACTGTGTTTTCTTCATAGGTCTTCAAATCCATCACAACACAAGGTTCAGCCCAAAAGGTGTACCAATCAGCAGCTATTAATGTGAACACACAGTAACATACAATACTCAAAGGAAAATACATTAAATATGAGACTATTCTGATTTTAATGCACAAGATTAGAAAGGAAGAATTAATCATAGGTGTCTTTTTGCTAAATGCCTTTTAAGAAGATACTAGGACTGTTGACTAGAGGTAAAGTAAAATGCAAACGTAAATGGAAGAGAGAACTTCAATAAGGAAAGCCAGATGTGGATACTGGACAGTAACATTCTCCTGAAGCAGATACAAGAGAGACAAAGGGAAAAAATTAACATTGTTCAATAAACCTCAAATATAAAAACATACCAGTATTTCCTTGGGCATCTTCTACCTTACTTGGAGAGGGCAACAGAAAAGGTGGCCTGGTGAAGGGAGGACCTGGAAGAGAAGATTGCTGCTGCTGCTGTTGCTGCAAAGGCATGGTTTTGAGGACCATGCGCCAGTCCACTTGGGTAATATCTGACCTTGATCGAGCATGCCCTGGCTTGAAAGTAGAAGTTTCATCCAATAAGTCATTCACAGAACGAGGTCTATCCCTTCGACGCTGACAGATATTGAAAAAATTAAAGGTTGATGCTTCCTTTTGTTCCATCCAGGAAAGATTATCTGGAGTTGTCCCTCTCTGGACCACAAACTGTTCTTTGGCAGGGAAGACATTTTGAGCTTTGGTTTCTATGAGCTTGCTCTTACAGTGGTCCCAGATCATGCCCCCCTTGCCCAGGGAGGCAACATTTCTCATAGCACCATTGTCTGTTATGTTACTGAGTACCTCATGTCCCACCAGTTCAGGGACTTCCTGAATCCCATAAACTTCTGCTTGCTGAACAGCCTTTTCTAGCTTGCTATCAAAAGTACTAAAGAAATCCTCAGTAACTTCTAATGCTGGGCTGATATCATCCACTTCCAAAGCTTCCATTTCACAGGTTCCAAGAGGCCTAGGCCTCCTAAGCTAGTTCAGGAAAGAGCTTCATGAACATTCATCCAACAAAGAGAGTTGCTTCAGCAATAGAGCTATGAAAACCACTGGAAGGAACCTTCGTTCAGTTGCCTAGAGCAGGCCAAGCTCAAGAGTGATTGATGTTTTCCTGGTCATTGAAAACATTTGCTAGCTAACAGAGGTATAGGGAGAGGGATGTTTCTTTGAGCTTATCTGAAGACAACAGGTAGTGCTTGTCAAAGTAATGCAGTGGCAATTCTTGATTTCCTGGAATAAAATAAATAGGACAACATTGGTACATGGTTCAGAGTACTATAATACTATAATACTCAAATATGCCCAATTACTTTTCAATCTTTACAACCCTTCCATGTAGTTTGTGTACATGTTGTCCCCTTTACACAAAGGGGACAACATGTACACAAAGTTCCACTGTCAGGAGGACACATCACTCCTTGCTTTGTACTAGAACTTACACAGAGCAGGATGGAATTCTTCATAAGGAGAAATAAGGCCGATAGCTTTTACTCACACAGAGAAACCTTTGAAAGTAGTTGTGAAAAGACTACCCTGGCAAAAGCTTTGATACATTGTCCTAAAATAGTAAGCAAAAGAGAGTAGCGTTTCTGTGACTGGCCTCTATCATAATGAGTCTGAAAGTCATAAATGCTTTACAAACCTTGAAAGCACTGATAATCTGCTGGGCTTAAAGGTGCAAGAGGGAAGCAGAGAAGGAAACTCTCTCTTTTTATCAAACCTGAATGTTATTGTGACTCTGGTGAGATTATATAATGCCCTATGATGACTCCAAGACTTCAGGATTCCTCCAGTCTTCTTGGAAACTGGTTTCAAGCTCCAAACTCCTTGAGGCTTCCAGGATTGGCCTCAGAGTACAGGTCTAGCCCGGGGGCGTCTATGGGTGAAGCACTGGCTTTAGTTCAGACCTCAAGCCTTGACCCCTTACAGCTCTGCCTGGGGAGAAAGAATCCTACAGGAAAACCAACTAACTCTGGGAAACACTAGATCTCCAAGATTAGGTTAAATAGAGCAGAACTTGACAATGATGCAATCTAATATAGAAGTACTATGCACATATGGCCATTTAAGTTTAAATTTAGTAAAATCAAAGTCTCTTGGTCACACTAGCCACATTTGCAAAAGTGCACAACATTTGCATATACCTGTGTACCTTTACAAAAATCAAATACATAAACAAAACAACTAGCCAAAGGTTTTTCTTTCACTGTGAATAAACAAGTAGAATTAGTCAATCAGTAACACCATTACATGTTGCTGCAAAGGTAGACAGACATGCTTTCTTTCCCGAAATGTGAAAATGTTTATGGTTAATTAATTTTTATCACTTAGGTTATTAAATAGTTATATCAATAGCACTAATCTACATTGATTAACATATGTAAATGAAACTAGAATATATAAACCTTTGTTTTAGATTTATCAAGGATATGATTCACAGAAACTAGTTAAACTCTTGTAAAGTGATAATGACTATGATGAATTCACTTTTGTATATTTTTATATGAACTGTTAGTACTTCATAAATTTTTTCTAGATACAAAGAGGTTTTGTTGTTTTCCTTTTTGTTTTTTCCTTTCCCCCCCCCCAGTCTAAAGTTAAGACTTTTGAATTGAGTAACAGGGTTTTAGTATTTCTGTAATTTTGAAACTTGGAATTTTTTCAATTGCATCTTATATACCAGAGACTATGAAAAAGAAATAAACAATCAATCTTAAAACTTCTAGTTCTTTCTTTACCAGAAGTTCAAATGAATACAAAATATAAGATTCCCATTTTACAGAAGAGATACTAAGATACAGAGCATTAAGTTAATCCTAAAAGATTCCAGATACTCTTTTTTTCTTTTTTTTTTAACCTCATGTTTCAAATCCAATCTTTAAACCATGCTACAGAGAAAATAAATACTTCCAAGGTAGGTGGGTTTTTAAAACTTTGTCAAAATATCTAGGAACACACTTTTTGTGCTCTCTGCTTGGTTATTCACAGGCTGGTTAGAAGCAAGTAACTGCTGATGGCCAGCACTGAGGCCTTGGAACCCTTGTATCACACATGGCAACACCACAGACTGTTAAACAGGAAGCAGCCTTGGAAATCATCCTTTCAACCCCAGCCTTTCACAGAAGAGGACACTGAGGCCCAGAGAGATTAAGAGGTCCTGTGAGTAGTATTGTGTTAATTCCTAAACAGGGAAACATGTTGTCACCTCAGGTCTTTGAGGGAATAGTCAAAGACCTGAGGTATTCATGTCTCCTTCTCAATGAGGCTTGCCCCTTGAGTATTCTATTTAAATCTAAAACATCTCCATACTGAACTCTTTCCCCCACCCCAAGTGATGTTGAGGAGCAAATCCACAGCTCTGCTAGGCAACTTCTCTACACTGAACTACATCCCCAGCTCTGCCCTGGATTCTTGATCTCACTTACTCTGCATTTTTTTTTTTTGATGTTGTTGTTTTTATAAATTTTTCATCTTGAAAGAGTTTTAGATCTGCAGAATTATTACAAATATATTAGAGTGTCGTTATATACCTCACACCCAGTTTCCTTTATATAACATCTTACATTGGTATGGTGCATTTGTACAATAAATGAATCAATAGTGACACATAAAAATAACTAAAACCCATACTTTATTTCAATTCTCTCAATTTCACCTAATGTCCTTTTTTTGTTCCAGAATCCTATACAGGACAACACATGACATTTAGTTGTCATGTATCTTTAGCCTCCTCTTGGCTGTGACAGTTTCTGAGACTTTGCTTGTTTTTGAGGACCTTGCAGTTTTGAGGAAAACTGGTAAGATATCTTATAGAATGTCTGCCTTGTGGGATCTTTTTGATGTTTTTCTCATGATTAGACCGGAGTTATGTTTTGGAGAGGAAGACCGCAGAGTGAAGTGCCGTTCTAATCATATATCATGATGACATATTATCAACGTGACTATTACTACTGTTCATGTTAACCTTGATCACCTGGCTTGAGGTGCCCTTTTTCCTTAAGCATTTACCACCTTCCATCATATCACTTAATTTACTTACTTACTATTTAGTGTTTTTCTCTCCCCACAAAAACATAAGCTCTACAAGTCCAGGAATTTAAGCTCATTTTCTTCACCAAGGTATCCCAAGTATACAGAACAGTGTCTGGCACACATGTAAAGGCATTAAATAGATGACACACACTTTGCTATTCCTTTGCATGGCACTCATGACCCTTCTTGGACTATCCCCCCACCCCACTGCCACCTCACTGTTCTACTCCTCTGTGCTTTTGTTCAGGTTGGGGAATCTTTTCTATCTCCTATTTGCCCAGGCTCTCCTGGCACTCTGGGTTTGCCATATTGTACTGAAATGATGGGACAATTTCTCTAGACCCCACTCTGAGCTCTGTGCAGGCACAGTGCCTTATTCATCCTCCCACACAAGCTGTTTTCATCCCTTGGACTCGGTTTTCCAAACTTCTTCATTTTGTTTTGTTTTTGCTATCAGGCATCATCTTTTCCTGGGCTCTATTGCCCTTAAATAGAGTTTAGTCTCTGTAATTGAATACCTCTTACTAGCCTGCCTCATTTGGTTTTGAATCAGCTAATTAAAAAAAAAATAACAACATATTCAGACAGGTTAAAATATTAAGTGATCCTTCCTCTGACAAAGTGAACATCAGTGTGTGGGTACAGGGTGGTGTGCATCAATGCAAAGCTGATGGTGTGCATCAATGCAAAAGAGCCAATTGAACTGTGTTCTAAATTTGGCTCAACCAAACACTTGCTGGGTAAACCTCTGGCAAACCTTTTAACCTCTAGGTGCCTAACTCAACTACCTGTTTCCAACAAAGTTGCTAATATCAAATTGCTTTGCATGTGGATCATTCACTAGGTAGCTATTCTAGTATGCCTTTAAAAATGCAAATTGCAATATAAGTATGGAGCACTCCATTGGATTTGACTCAACAACCATGTGCTCTTGATTTCTCCCTAGATTCATCTGCCTGAGGAAGCAAAGTCAGCAACTAGCTTCTTATAGAACACTACTTCTCAGCCAAATCAGTGACCTATAAATATTTTATCTTATATTTATATAGAATACCCTTTCTATAAAGGGAAATATATCTCCTGTTTAATATAGTTGAGAAACTGAGGTCCATCTGTCAACACAGTAATAAAAGAGCTCAACCCCAAGAATCCCATGCATGTATCAAAATGTAACCACATAGGAAATCAGCTTATTGCTATTTTCTAACAAGACAATCTTCCTTACATGCTCAGAAGGCATGGCTAATTAACAGGATGAATACAGCATCCCTCCCACACAGAGGTGGAGCAGACAGCCCTCCCACACAGAAATGCCATGTTCTCCTGAGCTCATTGGCAAAAACGCTGACTTTTTTCCTTGACCAAATGACTTGTAATGAGAATTTAATGAATGCTGGAGGTATCTGAGGCCATGTAATTTTAGAAGCAGCTGGACTGGACAGAAAAAAGCAGTGCCAAAGATACCTATGATAACTTGTTTCTGCTAATCCATTTTCAAAACTTAGAACAAAGGGTGGTCACAGGGCAGTCAGCACTCATGGTTCTCACATTCTTTACTTCAGTTAAAGTTGTGGTTGACTAAGAAATTTCTGAGATGCATAACATGATGGTCCCACCAAAAGAGGATCTGACTTTAGTAATATGACCTCTCTGGACCATGAGGTTATGATTTTTCATGGTGTTTTGTCATAAAGACAATGTAAGTATACTAATGGTGCACAGCCATGCCACAAGCAGATTAGGAAGTGGCGCTGGAGCAGACCTCATATAAAGAGCTCAGGGGGCTTTCAGATGAGATGGACAACTAGAAACACAGATGGCATCCCACTTTTATACGTTTAGAGGAAACACTAAATGGCTGTTGTGTATTCAAATTCCAACAAATGATAAGACTATTGCTATGCTATTTTTTTGAACATCCCATTCATTCAAATAATTTATATAGTTTTTTTTTTCCTGTTCTAAATGTAATAAGTACTCATAGAAATTCTGGAAAATTCTGACAAATATGGAAAAGAAGAATCAGTCATAATATCATGACTCAGGGAAAGCAAACTAACAGCAATTTTTTAGCCAGTATTAAATTGGAATCAAGATTACATATATAGTTTGGTCACATTGTCTCTTTAAATACATGCTCCAAAAGTGAACAGCAAGAAATGCTAATGAAGAAGAAGAGGAGGAAGAAGAAGGAAAAG